CACACACACACACACACACACACACACACACACATTCTCTCTCACATCCTCTCCTCCACATACATCTGTGCTCGTAACCCTAATTATGTAATAGTTTGCTTGCACTCACAAACCGGCTCACAGTCACATGCATAATATTGATAAATGAACAATAGTTGTTAACATTAATAGAGTTAATAGTCAGTTTTCTGATTGTAACCCGATAATACTCTGGGGTTTCATGCTTTACTGATCAAAGGAATACTTATATTACAAGGTGACTAAGATGGTAGCAGTTTGAAGGATGATGGTAAATATGACCTTCTGTGTCTTCCTCTGTTACCAATCAGAAGCCCAGGTGTTTTACTTCTGATAAACATTTTTGCTTGAGGAAACAAGAGATGTTGGTTGCCCAAAAAGATGGAATTAATTTACCCAGTGCAAGTGATAATATATAATTCATCGAAGCAGGGGAATGTAGATGTTGAAATTTTGCATGCTTTCAGTATTAATCGATTCAATCTTTCTTTATCTTGATGGCTTGTGTTCCCGGGAGATGCTTTCATACAGAAATTAATCATGCATTCTATGGCTGAATAATAGAACATGAACATCAACGATTTATTGGATTTAAATTTCATGAGCTTCTCAGAAAAAAATAGTCTTTTGTTCACTTTCTTTATGCAAAAGAGAAGTGTGGACATGCTTGTTGGGTTTGCTGTCTATGGTAACACCAAAATGCTTATAATGTGGCATTTGCTCGACGTTTTCATTTTTAATTTGGAGTAGCTGCAGGGGCGTTAAGAAAACATAACATCACAACTGAAAGAGCTGCAGAGCTAGTCTACCATAGAAAACTGCATCTCACATTGACGCTTAACGGCAACAGAGGATGAAAAAGTAAAAGTAAAATAGATCTAGATATAGTAAGTAAGCAAGGGCATTTTCTTTGTTCTAAAGTCAATAACAAGTTCTTTGTGTTTGTTTTTACATTTAAAAACTGCTTGTGAGTTCCACACCACCTTGATAAGTTTTGTGTTAAATTTCTAAAAGCAGTTCCTTCATGGTCAGCCTGAATGAGCTCAATTATGGTCGAATCGTCCGCAAATTTAATCAGCTTGATGCTATTGTTGTGAAGTTTTGATGCAGTCAGCTTCTTCTACTTTAACTTTCCACAACTCAACATGGAAACCATTAGCAAACCTGTAAACTCAAAAAGTATTATGTTGAGGGAAAAGGGCACTCAAATATAGGTCGAGCTGTGTAAGACAAGATCATAATGAGATGCGTTTTAGACAGATGGCATGAATACAGCTTTATCTTGGTGTGACATTAGGCTTAGTAATTATAAATATTGTTATGCCCGCATAGACACAAATTTGATCATTTATTACTTTTGTGTGTGTGTGTGTGTGTGTGTGTGTGTGTGTGTGTGTGTGTGTGTGTGTGTGTGTGTGTGTGTGTGTGTGTGTTGGGGGGGGGGGGTCCCCGCATTAGCATTAGCACTGGTGTGGGCTTGTTCATGTAAACGACACAAGGACACTTTATGGTAGGTACGAACGGACAATATCAAGCAGACAGATAGGTAAAAAAGGTAGACTACTGACACGTCAGATACTGAATTTGTTGTTGTTGTTATTATTGTTGGGGTTATTAGTTTGTTATTTTGCTGTAGTTGTTAAGTTGTTGTTATTGTTATTGTTGTTGTTGTTGTTGTTGTTGTTGTTGTTGTTGTTGTTGAGGGGAGGGTGGAGGTAGGAGATGCTTCAAATGTGCTTGTCCCGACCTAACTGTTACATTGTTGTCACCGTAACTATCCGAGTACAGAAGCCCACAAATGTATTACATTTTACCTTCTCTGTCTGCCTATATTCCTTCTGCCCCTGACAGTAACGGTAACTGTAAATTGTTTAACGCCTCCACTGACACAGTTTCTGTCATTTGAGATGCAGGCCTTTATCAACTCTGTGTGTTAGGGCCACCCCGGGCTATGAGGGATGACACGGTGTCTCAGCACACAGACAGAGTTTTTCCATCCATTACGAAAATAACTTCCCACACGAGAATAAAACTCTTGACTTCTGCCCGCGACTGCGAGACACCTAACCGCTACACCACGAAAGTTGACCTCGTAGCGCTAGTTTTCTTATGTTGATCCTCGCTGTAGTCGATATAGCCTCAGACTTTGTCACTAAAGATAATATGTTTGGTGAGTCGAGAGGTCCTTATCGTGAAAATTGGGCGCTTAAAAGATGTGAGTGGCGGGAGGGACCCTGGCTTGTAACCTCAGTAACAACAACAGCATAACAACAACAACAACAATAACAACAACTACAACAAGGATAGCAACAACAACACAATAACACAAAACAACAGCAACAACATCCAAAAAAGAAGTGAAAACAGAAAAAAATGTAGATAGCTACAAACATTACAAAATCAAAACCAAATAAAACTGCAGCAGCAGCAACAA